TGACTCCAAGATGAACATGGGCTGACAATGCAAGGCCACGGTTGGCAGGGCTAACCTGACCTTGTCGTGCATCCACAGATGCATCTCAAGCAGGGTCAAGGAGGTGATTCTCCCCCTCTATGTGACACTGGTCAGGCCACAGCTGGAGTACTGTGTCCAGTTCTGTGCGCCCCACTTCAGGAGAGATGTGGACAACATTGAGAGGGTCCAGAGGAGGGCCACCTGCATGATCCGGGGACAACAGGGCAGACCCTACAATGACAGAGACTGCGGGACCTGAACCTGTTCAGCCTTCACAAGAGAAGGGTGAGGGGGGACCTGGTGACAGTCTATAAACTCACTATGAGGGACCAGAAGGGTTTGGGAGAGACCTTTTTCCCCCTAGGACCTCCTGGCATAACAAGGAAAAAGGCCACAAGTTGTTAGAGATTAGATTTAGATTAGACATCCGTAAGAACTACTTCATAGTTAGGGCAGCTAGGATCTGGAACCAACTTTCAAGGAAAGTGCTGGCTCCTACCCCGGGGTCTTTAAGAAGAGGCTGGATGCCTACCTGGCTGGAGTCATTTGAGCCCAGTTTTTCTCCTGCCCAGGCAGGGGGTCGGACTTGAAGATCTACAAGGTCCCTTCCGACCCTACTTCTATGAGTCTATGACCAGCCGGGGCATTTCAAGACAGGTTCTGAGTCTATAGCCCCACTCTCTCTCTGGAGTCCAGCTTCTGGACCCTACAAGGGGGTAACCAACCCAGTTGTGGGAGCTGGGATTATTAAGGTGCCCCAACCTGCCTGTCACGGGGGGGGTAACTGGTCTGGCATTTCCTGGGGGCTCTCACACTACTGAGAGCCCCACCAGGCCACCCACTCCTGGTAGGATGCAATTTCAGGTCATGCCCAGGACCAGGAGCCTCCTAGCTATTCCCTATATCTCCTCTCTTACCTCCAGGATGATGCAAGCTGCCTGGCTTGCCAGCAGGGAACCGATCTATTTATTTAGGCAGCCAGGGATCTAAAAATGGCTGCCACAATCAAGCACCTGCTGGCTGTTTGGCTCTGATCTTAAAGTGGCAGGCACAAACAGTCCCCTGCCACAGGCCCCAACCCAGAGCCCCTGAAATCAGTGGGGAACTTTTTCATGCACTGAATGACCTTTGGCATGCAAGAAGAAAAGGTTTCATTAAGAACTGGAGTGAGGAGGTTACGTGAGACTATTGGTCAGGAAATGATTGGACTTAACTTGAGTTCTGGTTGGTTATTGTGTTCCTGGCAGTGACTTAACAGTTTCAAAATATCTGCAGGCAAGCAGGCTTTGATGTCAGATGCATTGGGCATGTGGACAAAGGCACCACTTTTCAAATTAACAACTTGAGGACTTCCTGTGCGGTTTCTTTCGGAACATTTCTGAACAAATAATCTTCCATCTCCTGGCTAGTGTTTGTCTAGGTTTAACAAAATAGTCAAGTGTTGAACTCACACTGCCCACTCTCTCTCTCTCTGCTCAAGAGGCAAAGCTGGTGCAGGATTTAAAGTTCCTATGCAGGATTTCAGCCCTTGTCCTTGGATCTACAGCCACAAACTAAGGTAATGCTTCTATAGGGGCTTTGCTTGTTACAAAAGGTAATTTGCTATATACTCTAACCTCATGATTAGGAGATGAGCAGCAATGGCTATAAATGGATGTGGCCATAATAGAAGAGTCATCTTTTGTATGCATGTGTATGCGTCTACAGACCAGAGCTTAGTTCAGTGAGCTTTTCACAACCAAGAGCCTTCTTTGAGTTCATTTGAACCCTATAAAAGTAAAAAAATAGTTCAAATTTTCCTTTCCAGTACGCAGTACTTTGTATTAGTTGCCCCTGCATTTTATTTTCAATTATGTTGTAGGTTTGCCTAGCTTGTTAGGTTTCTTTGGTGTCCTCTCTAGTCTTGATTAATTTGAATTACTTTGTGACATCTCTGTGGATTTTACCACTTCACTCTGTAGTCCCCTTTCCAGATCAATGGGGAATATATTTAATAAGATGGGATCTAGTACAAAACTTTAAGGCATCCAGTTCTAGGGTTGGGTATTTGACAGGTCAAAAATTCTCTGTTAATTGATCAAATAGTTGTCAAACACTGTCAATAATGGTCAAATATTTTAAGCAATTAGAACAGCAGAGAGAAGCTTTACTATTTGGTAGGTTAGATATATATACTTATGACAAAAAAAAGTTAGTTAACTTATTGTGAAACAAGGACATTATAGTCTAAAACATAGTAGTGTGTGTTGATAACTGTCAGTGTTAGATCAATGTAAATGTAAATTATACTCAAGACTGAACAGTTCTTTTTGCTGGCTTTTATCTGGAAAGCGCGAACAATTACAAAAAACTAACTTAACTAGAAAAAACCCATGAAGAGCAACTATAAAAGGCCAAAGTCAGATTTTAAAATGCAGTTAGGCTAATTAGGCAGCAGGCCCAGTCTAAGCATTTTGCAGTTTGCATTTGGCAGTCACAGCAGATTGCCACTAAGAGAGGCTTTTCTCTGCTGCTTTTCTATAAAGCCATCTAGTCTGGTCCCTGCTCAAGGTAGGATAATTTCTATATAATCTATGCTACAGGAATGTTTGTCTGACTACTCTGTTTATGGCATCTGACCAAATAGGCTGTAGCCTACCAAAGTTTATGACTTTCTGAATGAGTTTCAAAAGTTTTTTCTTTCAAAAAAAAGGGAGGAAGGAGGACCCAGGAAACTATAGGTCTGTTAGTCTTACCTCAGTCCTGGGGAAGCTCTTTGAGAAAATTATCCAGGAGCACATGTGCAAGGGACCACCAGGGGAGATTATGCTTAGGGGCAACCAACATGGGTTCATTAGAGGCAGGTCCTGTCAGACCAACCTGGTTGCCCTCCATGACCAGGTCACAAAATCCTTGGACCCAGGTGTCGCAGTGGACGTAGTCTTTTTGGACTTTAGGAAGGCCTTCAACACCATCTCTCACCCCATTCTCATTAAAAAAAATTAGGCAACTGTGGCGTTGATGCCTACACAGTCAGATGGGTCGCAAATTGTCTGGTGGGCCGCACTGAGAGTGGTGGTGGATGGGTAATTTTTGACCTGGAGGGATGTGGGCAGTGGGGTTCCCCAGGGTTCTGTCCTCAGGCCCGCACTGTTCAACATCTTCATCAGCAACTTGGAAAGGGGGTGAAAAGCACCTTGTTCAAATTTGCAGATGACACTAAGATGTGGGGAGAAGTGGGCACACTACAAGGGAGGGACAGACTACAACTAGATCTGGACAGGTTACAGAGGTGGGCAGATGACAATAGGGTGGGTTTCAATACTGACGTGTGCAAGGTACTGCACCTGGCGAGGAAGAACCAGCAGCATACCTACAGGTTGGGGAACTCCCCTGTCGTCAGTGCAGAGGCAGAAAAGGATCTTTGAGTTATTATTGATTCTAAGATGAACATGGGCCACCAAAGTGAGGATGCGGTCAGTAAGGGTAACTGCACCTTGTTATGCATCCACAGATGCATCATGAACATGTCCAAGGAGGTGATCCTCCCCCTCTGTGATATTGGTCAGGCCGCAGTTGGAGTACTGTGCCCAGTTTTGGGGGCTGCACTTCAGGAGGGATGTGGACAGCATCGAGGGCCACTCACATGATCAAGGGGCAGCAGGGCAGGCCCTATGAGGAGAGGTATTCTTTCCTGCCCATGGCAGGGGGTCAGATTTGATGATCTGCTCAGGTCCCGTCTGACCCTACAAACTATGAAACTATGAGTTAGTCTTTAGATGTTATCCTGCTCTGCCTTTTGTCTTATTTCTTAAAAACATACAACTACTATGCATATTGCCAAAAACCACCAAGAACACCTTAAAATCTGCCATAGGTAAAACATGGGGACAAGGCTGGTGGCTCAGCAGGATCACCGATTCTTTCACAGACTCCCTACTTCCGGTAAATTTAAAGAAACTCTTATAGTAATTCTTACACTTAAGTATTCAATCTTATAATTTCAGGTATACATTTAGTTTTTAAATTCAGGTTATTTTTACAGCTGTATTCTTTGCTTTCCTGGTACTCCAGTGTTGCATGTCAGCTCCACGGATATCCTTTTGTTCCTTTCTTTTACTGGTGACAATGTGCCACTTTAGTGATTGTTAATTTATTTAGTGGGAATTAATGTTCCTCTGCACTCCTGAAATTATTCCCTTTCTCTTTCTTTATCTATATTTCTTTAACTCTTTAGTTATGCTACAGTGATAGAAGCCTTCTAAATGTCATATATACATCAGAGAGGATTTGGTATTTGGGTTGAAATTTGGGGGACTTCAGTATTCAGTTTTCTACTGAATATATTTTTGAAGGGGTACAAGTGTGTTCCATTATTTTTCTTTTGACCCAAAGAAAAATCAACCACAATGGGAAAATGTTTCGATGGAAATTAACATAGGACCCCTAGAGGACAGGCTAGAGCAACTGGTGACAGATAAAACGGCCAAGGCTGAACTCTTCAATGAGTTTTTTGCCTCTGTATTCCTGAACACAGATCAAGACACATCTCCCTATTTCATTATAGATAGGCAGAGGAGGAACAGCAGCCCACCAATGGTCAGCACCAACCTAGTAAAGGGACACTTGGAGGGGCTGAATGTGCTTAAGTCAGCAGGCCCAAATGATCTTCACAGAAGGGTGCTGAAGAAATTGGCCAGTGTTATAGCAGAGCCACTGGCATGGCTAGTTGAGCACACATGGTGCTTAGGTCAGGTCTCAGAGGACTAGAAAAGGGCTGATGTGGTCCCTATTTTCAAGAAGGGGAGGAAGAAGGATCCGGATAATTATAGACCAGTTAATCTCACCTCTATCCTTGGGAAAACTTTTGAAAAAATTATCAAGGATCACATTTGTGGGAGCCCAGCAGGAAAAATAATGCTGAAGGGCAACCAGCACAGGTTCATAGCAGGTAGATCCTGCCTGACTAACCTTGTTTCTTTTTATGACCAGGTCACAAAATGCTTAGATGGAGGTGCTGAGGTAGATGTTATCTCTTGGAGTTTAAGAAGGCCCTTGATACAGTATCTCATCTCATTCTCATGATAAAACTGAGCAGCTGTGACATAGATGATTACATGGTCAGGTGGGTGGCAAATTGGCTTAGGGGGTTGCACTTAGAGAGTGGTGGTGGATGGGTCGGTATTGACCTGGAAAGATGTGGGCAGTGGGATCCCCCAAGGCTCAGTCCTTGGACATGTGCTATTTAATGTCTTCATTGGTGACTTGGATGAGGGCATGGAAAGCACTTTGTCCAAATTCGTGGATGACATGAAATTATGGGATAAAGTAAACACACTAGTGGGAAGGGATCAAATGCAGGCGGACCTGGACAGGTTGGAAAAGTGGGCAGAAAAGAATAGGATGCAGTTCAGAGACAAGTGCAAGGTGCTGCATTGAGGGAGAAGGAATCACCAGGACATCTATAGGCTAGGGGATGACCTTCTCAGCAGCACAGTAGCATGAAGGGATCTCGGAGTCACAGTTAACTCTAAGATGAACATGAGCCATCAATGTGATGAAGTAATCAGTGAAGCTAACCGCACTCTATCATGCATTAGCAGGTGCATCACAAACAGGTCCAGGGAGGTGATGGTTCCCTTCGATGTGGCATCAGTGAGGCTGCAGTTGGAGTACTGCGTCCATTTGTGGGCACTGCACTTCAGGATGGATGTGGATAACCTTGAGAGGGTTCAGAGGAGGGACACTCATATGATTATGGGCCTGCAGGGAAGGCCTTATGAGGAGAGACTGAGGGACCTGGATCTCTTCAGCCTCTGCAAGAGAAGGCTGAGAGAGGATCTTGTGGCTATTTTACAAATTCATTGGGGGGTGGGGGGCAGCAAGAATTAGGAGATGCTCTGCTTACCAGGGCACCCCTTGGAGTAACTAGGAACAATGGCCACAAACTGACAGAGAGTAGATTTAGGTTAGACATCAGGAAGAACTTCTTTATGGTTAGGGTTGCCAAGATCTGGAATGGGCTTCCAAGGGAGGTGGTGCTGTCCCCTACCTTGGGGGTCTTTAAGAGGAGACTAGACAAGCACCTGGCTGGGGTCATATGACCCCAGCCCTCTTTCATAATTTCACAGTTGTTAGGGTTGGAAGGGACCTATTAGATCATTGAGTCCAACCCCCCCTGCCCTGGGCAGGAAAGAGTGCTGGGGTCAGATGACCACAGCCAGGTGTTTGTCCAATCTCCTTTCAAATACCTCCAAGGAAGGGGACAGCACCAGTTCCCTTGGAAGCATATTCCATATTTTAGCAACCCTCGCTATAAAGAATTTTTTCGTGATGTCTAATCTAAATTTGCTCTCTTCCAGTTTGTGGCCATTGTTTCTAGTTATGTCGACAGGCGCTCAGGTAAACAGTGTATCCCCTATTTCTTGTTGCCCCTCCCCCCCCCCCCCCCCCGGGGTTTGGTGGGAGCGGCACACCCACCCCACCCC